TTGTTTTGTTGTTTTTTTTTTTTTTTGGCAGGTGCATTTAGCCTATATTTGGTAACCTTTTTTTTGTTCAAAAACTCATTTATCACTTCATCCAACATAAGAGGAAGAAAGCTAGAAAATGATTTTTGTGGATGTCGGATAAGAATGTATGCCAATAATTCACATTCATAACGCAGCTACAAGACATCAAATCACTTCATCCAACATAAGAGGAAGAAAGCTAGAAAATGATTTTTGTGGATGTCGGATAAGAATGTATGCCAATAATTCACATTCATAACGCAGCTACAAGACATCAAATCACTTCTCAATGTCACTGGGAGGTATATTCCTATACATCAAAGAATATGTCAAATATTTTTATAATATTACAACTTAAACTATAGTACTTTCACAAATCAATATTACCTTGTTAATTTTGGCTATTCAAACATGTTTGAATTTCTTGTTCCTTATCGAGGTTAAAGATATCATTTGCTTAATTGTAGTGGACGAGGAAGACCGTGCGAAAAGGAAGAGTTGTTTAACTATGGAAACTCTTCGTGCAAAAATATTATTGAATGTTGCATTGGAGTGTTAAAAGCAAGATTTCCCAATTTGAAAATAAGTACCAATTATTCACTTAGTAGGCAAAGATAAATTCTCATTACATGTTGTGCAATACATACCTTCATTCGCTAGGAGCATGCTTTGGATAGTTTTTTTTTTTTGGCTCAATAATAAAAGAATATGGTATTTCAAGTTGCGCTGGAGTCAATTGAAGATCAAGATGTCATACAATTTGATACTAGTCAAACCACACAAATAGGACAAGTCAGGAATCAAATTGCTATACAAATATGAAATGAATACTCAATGAGTCGTACGTGATTATGTATATATACATTATTGTATTAATTTTCCAAATGTGTTTATTTCTATTATCAGTATTAAAGCATGAAATCCTAGTCCACTTTTAGTTAAATTGTTTGCTATAATTTTATCATTTATACATTTTGTAATGAATGGCCATAATATTTGGTTATTTCTGCACTTATGTTCTCAACCTTTTTCATCACAAATTGTATAACTTATTTTTTATAACGATTTTCATCCAAAAAACTCATTATGATGACGTAAAAAGACTTATTTTTCCTCTCTTATTTTTACATAAGTAAAATAAACAATAAATATAAAAGTTTGACAAAATATTCACCCCTCATTTCAATGCACATTAGAAGAATAGTTGGATAGAAATTGTCATGATAAACAAAATGTCTAATTAATTGACGGTTAAATATTAAAATGTGACAAGAAAAAAAAAATAGAAATATAAATGCAAAAAATATAATCTTAATTGCAACTGAAATGTGGTCCGGATACTAAATTTTGGAGTGTGAATATTACAATTTACAATATAAAATGTGATCAATACAAAGATGAAAATTTTGAAACTATATGCAACATATCTTTTAGAAGTGGAAGTCATTCTCAATGATCCACTCAATTATAGATTAGACTTGAACCATTTTTATTGGTGGTTACATTTTTCATTGGGCCCACACTACCCAGAATTCCAAAATCTCTCATTTGGCCCGTTTCTTAAGCATGATTCAGTGCACGCTTTAGACCTAAATCTCACCCAAGACAAACTCAACATAAATTGGATTAGTCAAAACACTAAAAAGTTTGTTTGACAAAAATTCTTCAAATTATTTTTTAAAGAATGTGTAGTTGAAAAATGAAGAAAAACTGTAGATCCTATGAAATATAAGATTAAAAACAGTGATAAATTTAGGAATGTTGGTGAGCTAGAACGGTCCTTGACAATTTGACCGTCGACCGTCAACAATCATAATAGTAAGATCGTTTATTAATATTTAATTAAATAATATTAAAAAGTTCTAAAGTCAATATATAAATGCAAAATTGGACCGACGACTTCAAGTCTTCATTTAAAATACAACACTAGAAATTGCAACGTTGCAACACATAATTGAATGTATAAAACACAAAATTGGACTGACCATTTGAAGTCTTCATTAGGCAATTGCAAGATTGAAGAAGTAATAGTAAACTAGAAAATGGCTATTTTGGCTACATGACAGTATCTTCGTTTTAGGGATTTGAAGTAGAGGAAATTACACTAGGGCAGATTTTTAAAGATTGTAGTTCAAAAATCAAGTATCAGGTTTCCTTATTCATAATAATAATATAAATTAAAATAATCCCCACCCACTCCCATCATCTCAATTTTAATGCGAAACCCTAAGTTATTTCTCTCTCTCTCTCTCTCCCACGGCGATCTTCTTTGATGACTTCTCTCTAATGCCATGCCGACAATAATCATTACTGACTAGCAACGTTGTTCGCAGCTATGAACTTCGCGATAGCGCAGGGGCTGCTTTGAACTTCACGCGCGCTGTTGCGAACGACAATGACGACGTTCGTAACATCGTCTGATTAGGTGGTGGAGGTGACTTGACAGGTGGTGATGGGGAGAAAACTGGTGGCAGGGTGAGTAGATGGGTGGTGTTTGTGGTTTTGGTGTCGAATTTGGTGACGAAAATGGAACCGGCATGGCATTGGTGGTGTTAGCTTCGGTCATGGTGTCGAGCCCGCTTGTGTGGTGGTGGTGGGGAGAAAACTTTGCGCTGGGTGAGTAGATCGATAGTGCTTGTGGTTTTGGTGTTGGACATGGCGACAAAGATGGAACTAGCACAACCTTATTTGGTGGTGTTAGCTTCGATCGTGGTGGCGATCCTTTAGTTTTGGGTCGTTGGACTTTGCCTGTGTTGGTGGTGGTGCATCTGTGCTATGTTGTTGGGTTGTGTTGGTTGTAGTAGCA